GGTCCTCGCCCCCGCCGGAGCCGGCCATCCTCCTCTCCCCAGGATGTGGCACAACGTCGGGATGACGCTGCTCGTGTTCGTGGCCACGCTGCTGATCGTCGTGCTGATGATGGTGTGCGGTGAGTGGGGCACTCTCCGCGGGGCCGTCCACGCGCCCGCTCGCCGATTTGTTGTGCCTTAGTTAGGAAGAGGCGTGAGGGGACCCCTAGCGTCTCCGTCACCTGCTGTCCCCTACCTCTCGGGAGAGAGCGCCAGGAGCCGCGCCCCCGACCCAGGCAGGCCTCGGGCATCTTGGAGAGGCGAAGGGTAGGATCCCGGGCATCCTGACCCTGCGTTAAACCACACATTGCCTCACCGGCGCGTCTGCTCTTGATTGCCATTCTCACCACAGTCTGCTCAGATTTTAACCTTGGCCTGTTTTCGAAGGTGAAGTGATTGGCTCCTCCTTTTTCCTTTTCACAGGTTCTGGCCTTAGTGATAACGAGAGGTTTAACTATCTTCATCATTTAACCAGGGAGTGGGAGAGCGTTGGCTTTTCCGAACACGTGGAAGTGTTTGTTTACTTAGTTCAGGCGTCAACTCAAGTCCTAGCAGAGATGTTCAGACCAGGCAAACCGAAAAACACCAGCTCTATTAAACTTTCCAGGGTCGGGTAACCCAACTCTTAGTTCAGTAATAATAGTGCTAAGCTGTTTGTTGTGGTATTTTCCTTCTTGGAATGAGAGGACATTAAACTTTCTTCTCAAGATAATGCCAGTCCAATTTTAGATCTTTTTTATTTCTTTATTCACAGTAACCTATAACCACGGGGCTTTTAGCAGAGTGAGCAGTTGTGAAAAATTGGAAAGTATTTTAGAATAGATGTCAGTGCATTTATTTATATTTACGAGACTGAAGGATCGGTTTTAGTGATTGCAGTAATTGGTCAGAATTTACAAAGATACCATAGGGTTTATTCATTGCATAGTGAATGTACTAATTAATGCTTAGTAGAGTTGTGCTGGGAGAAGAAATATGTGTACACTTGTGGATATGCATGTATATGTGTTTGTATGTGTGTGTGTGTGTGTGTGTGTGTGTATATATATATATATGCTTTTTGTATGTTTAAAATTTGTTTTGCTTTACTAAGACGCTAGGTTAAAGCTTCTAATTTACAGCCTTTCTCTTCTGATGGGACAAAACAATTGTATAAACTTTCTCAATTTTCTGCTTGTGGTGTCGACATTTTGAGCTAATTGTAGATGTTTAAGGTTCTTGAAGCAAGGAAAACCAGATCCTTATGATTTGTTTGGGTGTGGGGAAGGAGGAAAGGTTATGTTATCTTTTCTAATTTGAACATGCAAGTTAACTTGGGCATAGGGATATGACATCTAGGCCCTACCACAGCTGAGATAGAATATGTATCAAACTTATCTTTGGGGCATCACTCATCTCTAAACAGCTATTTGATGGCTTAATTTTACTCATTTTCTAAGAGTGCCTTTAGGTTCAGAAAACAATATGGAATAAGAGGTGTGAGGTGTGCTAGGTTAAAAAAAAAAAACACAAGAACAACAAAAAACATTTTGGTTGGAATGGTCAAGAACTATGAAGAAGTGATCTAAATCCTTTTTTTGTTGGGAGAACTAATGATGGGATAGCCTCATGTTTTGACTAAGATGGCTCTAGGACTTGGAGAGAGGGAAGGATCAGACCAGACTTCAGTAACTAGGGTTGCCATAATAACACACCACAGATGTGTGACTTAAACGACAGAAATTTATTTTCCCACAGTTCTGGAGGCTAGAAATCCGAGACTAAAGTGTATGCAGGGTTGGTTTTTCTCCTGAGGCTTCTCTCCATGGCTTGTAGATGGTGGTCTTTCCCCCGTGTCTTCACGTGGTCTTTCCTCTGTATCTGTGCCCTAATCTCTTCTTATAAGGACAGTCAGTCCCTGGATTAGGACCCGTAGATGGTTTATTTCCTATGTCTTCATGTAGTCCTTCCTCTGTGTCTGTGCCCCAGTCTCCTCTTTTATAAGGACACTAGTCACTAGATTAGGGTCTCTCACCCTTATGACCTCATTTAACCTTAATTACCTCTTTAAAGGCTGTATTTCAAATACAGTGTAGTCACACTGGGTGTTATGCCTTCAACATGAATTTAAGGGGGACACAATTCAGCCCATAACATGCAGCCTATAACAGTGTTTTCAGCACTGTCTGAAAGGTAGAAGATAGCTGGATAGTTTCCTTTCTGTGGTCACTAACCCTTTGAGAACCTGGTGACTGCTGTGAGCCCTTTTTTAGAAAAATGTACCAACATAATTTCCTCCCCTATTTTGGAGATTTCATGGACTCCCTTTCCGTCTGTCTGTCCATCCATCCATCCATTCATCCAGGTCTCATTTGCTCTCCCAGGCTGAAGTGCAGTGGTGTGATCACGGCTCACCACAACTTCAATCTCCTGGGCTCAGGCAATCCTTCTGCCTCAGCCTCCTGAGTACCTGGGACTACAGGTGTGTGCCACCATGCCTGGCTAGTTTTTAAATTTATTTGTAGAGACAAGGTCTTGCTATGTTACCCTGGCTGGTCTCAAACTCCTGGGCTTAAGCAATCCTCCTGCCTCAGCCTCCCAAAGTGCTGGGAGTACAAGTGTGAGCCACTGCACTTGGTCAGCTCTTCTTCCTTGAACCCAAACATGGAGTTTAGGTTAAGAGCCTCTGTTATTTGGGTTAGGTCTCCTGTTTTATGATTTCATTCACTTCGGCAAACTGAGTGTTGAGTGGAAATACAGAATCCATGACAGGTATGTCCCAAGGAATTCGTAGTTTTTGTTAGAACTCTGACAGACTCTTTCACACCGTACTCTGATTTTCCAGTTTCAGGTTCCTGGGGGGGTTTTTCTTCTCTTGTCTATATTGCTTGTCTCTGCTTTCTCACTCCCCCTCATTCATTCTAAAGTGTTTTCTATCCCCCTTTCACTAAAACTGCCCTTGTTGAGGCCAGTAATAAATGGCCTCCATATTGCCCAGCCCAGGGTGGTCACTCATCAGTCCTAATTGAACTTAACCTGTCATACTTCTTCTCTACAATTAAGCATTCTCTTCAAGAAGCATTTATTTTGGCTTTTGTGTACTGTATTTCCATGGTGTTCTAACTACCATAGTGGCTAATTGTTTACTTTTTCTTGACTTCTCATCCCCTAGAATGTCTTAACTTTTTGTCCACACCCAACAATAGAAAATACATTATTTCTACTATGTTTATAAGTGTATAAATTACATGTATCAATCAGTTGATACACACATTCATACATATGCATCTACCTTTTGTCTATCAGTTTCTGAAATAAAAAAGCTACGGACTAGTATTTGCCCTTACTCTATGAGATGATTCTATTTTCTATTATGTTTTTTGGAATATAGTAAAAGTATATTTCTATTTTCTCTTTCTTTTACTTATTCTCTTCCTATGGTATTTTATTCCATTCTAGAGATTTAGATACTAACTGTAGCTAATGACTCTACAATTTGTATCTCTCTCTTATCTCTTGAGCCTCAGGCTTGTTCACCAAACTTTTTAATTGATAGCCCCACTTGGAGATCTAATAAGCATCTAATATTTAGTACATCTAAAACAGAACTCTTGATTTTTACCACCTATTTCTCCCTGGAGTCTTTCCCATCTGAAGTGTTACCTGCTTCCACTTAGTGGTTCAAGCCAGGGCCTTAGGTCTCATCTGTTATTCTTGCTTTTCTTTCTTTCTTTTTTTTTTAACTCCCCATCCTTCTCCCCTTAAGCGCATCAACTCCATGTGCAATTCTTCTCAGTTTTATCTCTTTAAAAAAATAAAAAATATATTCTTCATGACTACCACCACCATCATCATCTTTGGCTTGCCTTAGTTTCTTAACTAGCCTTTGTTTCAACCCATCTTTTCTTTGTAGTTCACTTCTCACATACTAGCCACACCGTTTTATGAAGAAAATATTTTATCAAATAGAAGTTCCTATGTACTTCCATATTTCTAAATAACATATCATTGCTATCTCTTGATTTTGCAATCTGGGACATTATTAACTAGGTAGACTCCCCATTTCTTTTCCTGCTTGCCATTCGTAACAGTTTTTCGCTGACTTGATAGTCAGGATTTATATTTTGACTGTGTAGACATTTTTCCCTGCTAGTCAAATAGTGTTGATATGACCATACCTCTTTTCATATATGATTCTTCATTTCTGGCATTCATTACATAATTGTCTACATAGTAGGCTCTCATATGTTTGAAGATTTAAGAAAGATTCCTTAGTACCACTTACTAAATTAAATAAGTTACCTAGTATTACTTTCTTGAACGTACTTATTGTTATTTATCCCCCTCCTAAACTTTCCATAATGTCTTACACCTATCAGTAATACTTCCCATGTGTTCAAATGAATTGCTCTTCCCCTCCTTTTCCTGTTCAGGTTCAGAGCCCTTCTTCTCAACAACGGTCATTCTCCTACTGAAAACTGTATGTTCTCTACTACCCTGTTCTGTACGATTTTCTGAATCTCATGTCATCATCCTTCTCTGTTAACACTCTTATTTTGTTAGAGCACCTTTTCTAGTAGTTTTCTCAGGAAGAATGTATAGAAAATAGTTTATTGAGCTAATGCATGCCTGAAAATGTCTTTTTATTTATTTATTTTCTATTCTTATACTTGATTGATAATTTGAGTATATTTGGGTTGCAAATAATTTTCATCCAGAATTTTAACATTCTTGCTCCAAGATTTCTTGCTTCCGGTTCTGATTTTGAAAAATCTAATGCCTTCTTATTTCCTTCTCTTTGTAGGTGAGTTTGTTTCTCTTTCTAGATGCTTTTTGGGTACACTTTTTTTTTTTATCATTGGTATTCTGAAACATCAGAATGATATACTTTGGTGTGCATCTCTTTTTTTTTTAGGCCTTTCAATTTAGGTTTTTTCCTACACATCTGGGAGAATTTTCTACTAGATCTTTCATAATTTTCTCCCCTTCATTTTCTTGTTTTTTTCTTTCTGAAACTTTTGTTAGTTGGTTATTGGACCTCTTGGGCTATTCTTTAATTTTACTTTTTTATCTCCTATTTTCTGTCCTACCTCTTCCCCCT